TCGGTATTGATTTTGATTGAAGTGGCAGGTAAAACAACAGACTTAGTCAGGTAATATATAAGTGACACACCCTTGACCCATGAAATGGCAGTGTTCAAAAGGGGCAGTTTTGAGTTTTCTAGCAGCAGAATGCCATGCATGCAAAGTGAATTTTAGGAATAATAATACTCTGATACCATTACTTGGTTATGCTCATTTTATAAATTCTTTTCTCAATACTACCTAATGGCTTCCTGAAGCAAATGTTCATCTATAAAATCAACAAATCACAATTTTGCATGCAAAATAAAATCATTTACCTTAAAATCAGTAACAGAAATTAGCCTCCAATTGGTATTGTATGTGTATAAACTGAGTCTCTCAGCAAGCCAGACAATTGCTAAGTCAAGAGGCAGCATATTACAAAGAACACTTGTATCTTCCAGAGGACAAATGTAAGGAATTATATAAAGGAGCTTTGAATCAAATTGAAGTAACTGCTGAATATTTTCTTCATGCTTTTGAACAAATCTACATGTAAATGTACATGCATATTACTGTAAAGCAACAGATTTATTACAATACTAATCTTACCCTGTTATAAACTTCAATGTTGATTTTAACATTTCAATCATCAAGAAAGCATCACCCCAAGTTATATTATGAAGTGAAATATATGTCGGCTGATTAGGCAGCGAGAAATAACACAAAAAGTGATATAAAGGTAGAGCATTGACAATAACTATGGCATTCTCAGGCTTTTGCAATTTTACAACTGCTCTTAAGTAATGAACAAGAACTATTATGACAAAATTTCTGCAAGAAAGTAAAAGAAGTACAAAATAGTACATAAATTACTTGGCTTCAGATGATTCTCCTATCATACTCATTAAAAATTCCAATTCTTTTTCTCCGTTAGTAATTGATAAACTCATTGCTTGAAGCAATGCAACTCTAAACTCATTTGAAAAAGGAACATTGAAAATCTGATTTAATTTGAATAAACAACAGGCCAAAAGAACAGCTGAAGTAACAGCATGGCTTTGCTGCTTATTAAGAATAACAAGGAGAGCTTCTATCCAGTCAATCAAAAACTATACATAGTAGAATAAAAACTTTAAAACATTGTGTAATTGATTTACTGAACCAATATCTGGAACTTCCCAACGGTTCTCATCTCCTCTGTATTCCACCCATTGCAAAAATACACATCGAAATAGAGACACACATCCATTTATAGATACATCAAGTTTGGCCTTAAAACTTCCACTCAAAAGAATTTCTCTTGTTGGTTGTAAATGAATCTCCATACATTTACAACGCATCATGGCAGGAGTAGGAATAGTGCTGGCAGTGGGATCATTAGGTTCTGCTAATGAAATTAAATCAAACAATTTTTTGACAGTTCCTTTAGTTGTTTTTGTCTTAGTGTCAGGTAAAATCATTGTATCAAATTGTCTGTAAAAACCTAAAATAAATTGCTAATGTATACAAACATAGAAGCATTACTCACCCCCTGGAACTATTTTTTCTTTAGGTACTTTAAGTAACCTATTTGTATTGGCACATTCAAAAGGAGGAGCTCCATGAAGGCACTCATACTGATGTTTAGTCACTTTTATTAGTGGAGAATAGACCGTATATTTGTATGGCAGACCAATCCTTAAAGATTTTATAAAGTCACTGTCAATTGACATGTCATATCTAACGGTATAAAATCCACCACCAGCATCTCTAAATTGTACTAAAACATGGTCATTAAATAGTATATAATTGCATACCTGTGTAAAATACATGGACCAATGTCAAATTCCCAATCTCCTAACATTATGTGTCCAAATCTAATGTAAACTAATGACTTTCCTTCCTCCCATTTCCAAAGGCTTTTTTGTATTACAGCATTAAATTGTACTTTCATTTTCTTATTTGGTGGAGGCTGCAGTACATAAAGTTGATGCATGGGTCTATCAGAAAGAAATATGTTAAATAAGGCAAAATAGTCTAGCATATACACTCACAAATTAGGAACTGGATGATTAAAAACTTTATTTTTACTTTCTGGGATTGGTTCATTGGTCCTATTCGTTGAATCCTTTCCAATAGCAATCATTCCACCTTCTCCTTTATTTTTATCAAATGTAAGATCAATTGAAAGGCTCGAGATCTCCTTTTCATCAAGC